TATATCTGATTTGTTTAAATAAAAATTATTAATAAAGTTTTTAAGATATGAGTTTGGCCAGAGTTTGGGATTTGGGCATGCCTAAACCCAAACTATAATAGTTTGGGATTTTGCCAACATGTATAGCATGTAGTGGCCCACATAAATATGACCTTACAAAGTGGGTGTTTGATGAATATCAACTACCAAGAATGCTTAAAGATACATTGGATGATATATTAAAGAAATTTAGAGATGCAAGTAGAGATTCATCAAATCTTTATACTATCGGAATTCAAGTGAGATAAGTCTTAAGTTCCTTTGTTAATATACAATTGGTCTTCATGGAGAATACTGAATTTTTGTTTTGTTTAGCTATATATGACAAAGATTCGAATATATATGATAGAAAAGCATGATATATACCAACTTCATCTCCTGAAGTCGTTTAAACTTCCTCTATTATATTTATCTTATGACAAGCTACGTCTTGCACTTTCATGGGCATGGAATATAAGAGTAAGCATTATTTTTTGCATTGTTTTAATTCTTCTAGTGGATCACTGTCACTTACTAAGGGACATTTTTGTCTAGAGACTTGTGAAAGAACTGTCACTAAAATTGGATGACAGTGCGATTGTTTCCTCTAAAACTCCTGAACGAGATCTACCAAATGAAATGAAAACTATAAAAATACCAGAGAAATTAAAAAAGAGAAAGTAACACAAAAATTAATTAATTCATCCGAATATTAAGATTGTTGTTAGTATTTTATTGCTGTTTTATTTGTATTGTATTAGAATAATAAAGATTCATTCTCATTGGACTTAATATATATACAGTTTTAGTGATATGAATCAGATAAAAATTTTGATATTTATGTAAAAAAAATAATAAATACCCAAATAACAAAATCGCAAAAGCATTTAAAACTTTAAGTTTATTCAATAAGACCCAATTCTCGAAGATGCTTAGGAATAACTATATGTAGATCTTCGTAATACCAAACATATCTCAAGGCAATCTAATTCGCTTCACATAATTCTTTCTTGAGTTGATCCCGTGCTTGCTGTTTGATAAAATTATTGGGATCACTATTATGAAAGAATTTTATATATCTTTTGTGTTGTTCTTCTTGCACTTTGATTGCAAATCCATATTGCAGGTAATAAATATAAAGTTCTAATCCAGTTGGGTGATCTAAAGTTTTAAGAAAATCAGGTCGATGTATCTTAGATAGTGATACAAGATATTTTGATATAATTTCTTGATACAATCTTTCATGTTTATATTTAGAGCAATATGAACACCATATATTATCATTTTTTACATGAGAAAGGGTAGCATACCATTAATAGTTGTTATTACATTTCCAGAGTAACTGACTCTTGCAATTAGTGTTCTGCATAGATCAGATCGGACAGATATTTTTAAAGATCCAGATCCGATCCAAAAAACTGGATCGAATCTAAGTTCAGATCTGAATTTGGCTCTAAAAAATCCGAATCCAGATCCGGATCTGATATAGTTATACAATAAGTATGATATGATTAGTTGTAACTAGTTGGCTTATAGACAGACTTTTGTCTGATTGGCTAATATAAATTGCCCGAGTAACTATTATAGTACTTTTTGAGAACGCAACGTTTCATTAACAAAAAAGTTATAGTAAAAGCTATTTCTAGTTTTAAATAAACGTAAATATTCATTGTTGAAATTAATCCAAATAATCCGCAATCTCAAGAACTTATATTTTTAACATTTTTGCTAGTACTAATCATTTTAACTGTATATAGTTATAAATACCAGAAATGGTCAACAAAAAAAAAAAGGATTGTGATGTTACGTGTAAGAGTTAACTTAAAAACTTTTATATATACTAATTGGCATGCTATTATAATAAAAATAAGCTTGTACTAATGCTTATATTTACACATTTAAATATTATAGAGTTAAACATTAGTAAGTGGTAAGTCGATAATATACATGAGTATATGATTATTATAGCTTCATTAATTATAAGTTCTATCATGTTGCATCTCTATTAAAAGTGCAATGATTAAAAATAATATCAAATTACTTTTCAAAATATGATGATAATAAATATGGTTTCGCTAATAATTTATTCACATTGTGGATTTTTGATCGATTTGAGTTTGGGTTTTTTAGTAATAAATATCAATTTATATACTTTATGCTC